CTCCGGGCAGCTCTTCCGGCTCCTCAGGGTTGCGCTCCTCGTCTCGCCCACTTCCCGGCCCCTGTCTCGCCCGTGCCGGTGGCCGAGGCCGGATGCCTCAACACACGAAGCGCCAGGCTGGCTGCCTGGCAGAAGCCGTCCGTCCGCAGGGAAGCAGTTGCCGCCCACCACTCCTGGGCTCCGCCGACACCTCCCGCGGGCCCTGCGCCTCGCGCGCCCCGGCTCCGCTCTCTCCTCCCGTGCCGCGCCTTCCCTTCCCTTCCTCTGCCGCACCCTATCTTCCCTTCTGCCCGGCGGGCGCCGAGGCTCCGGGCTCCGTAGTCTCGTGGTTGACGTTGCGTTCTGTCCCCCGACCCCTCAGTCCTCTGCCCTTCATCCGCGCAACAGCGCCTGGCACCAGGCCTTGACATGTACCCAGTAGGTGCTCAGTAAGTGTTCGTTATTTGGATAAATGAACGACACCCCCTCGGTCCTGCTTTAAGACCTCAGAGCAGAATAGTTGGTGCAGCTTACAAGAGTTGGGTAGCCTGGAGTCAGATCGGTCCCAGCGCTGCCCCTTCCTAGCTGTGTGCTCGGGGCAGGTTGCATCTCACTGCGATTCAGTTTAGTCATCAAATGGGGATGGTAATACTTTACACCTGTGGCTTGGTGGGAGGATTGCGTGTGAACTGCTGACTAGGTGCCTGGCTAGATTTCAATAAAGCCTGGCCTCTGCCCTCCTTACCCACATACTCTACTTTCATTTCTCTTCCCTGCGCTTTGTTCTTCCTCACTTTCTGGCTGAGATTCAGGAATTGTGTTCGGTTCTATTGCTTTATTGTTAAATTTGTTGGCAGAGTGCGGTGTTCAGACCTGGGAGCACCCTTGCTTTATCTGCTAGAGTGATCAGTTGCCCTGGAGTGGACTTCCTCCTTATAGCCAAGGTCTTGAAAACTTTAAGGAGAGGAGTTCTGAAAATCCCCAAACCCAGATCCCAGCATGGACAGAATCTGGGAAAAAAAGCCGCTGCAGCCTTTATAATCACCAGAGACTCCCGGTCTTCTAAGCTGCAAGGTTTTTTTGTACTTTCTCTCATCCAGCTCCAGTACACCCTGATAAATCTCTGGACTTGTTTTTGTTTTTGTTTTGTTTTGTTTGTTTTGTTTGTTTGTTTGTTTGTTTTTTGAGTAACCTGACTCTTACATTCCTTGTTTGTTCATTCAGCAGGTAGTTATTTGGGGTCGCTTATCTGCCACCCATAGTACCAGCCTCTAGGGATGCTGTGGTGGACCAGACAGACCCAGTCCCTGCCCTCAGGGGACTTTCAGACTTGAGAACCAGCAGCATGGTACAGGGGATGCTCTACTTGGATTTTGGGGATGGGCTTGGAGACTGGTGGTGGGATAAGGATAGTCCTCTTCTGAAGGAGTGACAGTAAGTAGCTTTTGTTAGGTTTGAGTTACTTTGTAGCCAGATTGTCTATTTCCACAGAAGATTGGCTCCTACTGGATTTGTTTTCAGTTTTCTCTTAGAGAAATTGCACTTCAAGTCCCAAGAAGATCTCATTTCATACTCACTTCTGTGTAGTTTGGACAAAATGGCTTCTGGAACTTAGTGGGGGAAAAGGGAAGGAAACAGGCATCAGGCAGAGCAGTTGATTGGGCTTAGAAAAGTGAAGAACAGACCAGGAAAGAGTTATACACATAATGAAAACAGGCTTTGGAGTCAAGTGTGGAGAGATTTCTAGACAAGGAGTTTGGTAGAATCAGGAGTGAGTAGTTGATAGCTCTGTGAACTGCTGAGGTAGACATGAGTGTGATTCAGTGTGTGTTCAATTTTTTTTTAGGTTGTTTTATTCTTTTTAAATAATTTTTTTGTTTTTTTTCCTGGGGGGAGTAATTAATTAATTAATTAATTAATTATATTTTCTAATGGAGGTACTGGGGATTGAAACCCAGGACTTTGTGCATGCTGAGCACGCCCTCTACCCGTGAGCTATACCCTCCCCACCAGTTTTAAGTGAGTTTATTCTTCGGACGTGGATGTGTGAGACCAGTGAATTTTTGCATAATGATGGATGTAACTGAGGTAGAGAGGTTTCACATTTTGTTCTATCATATTTGGGGAATCTGGCGCAGTGTTTTGAGAGAAATTAATTCAATAAACATTTGTTGGGCATTGATTATACCACTCTCTCCCTTGGTCTTTTGAAGCAAGACCAACTGAGTGCCAGAGGGGGTCTATGAAGGCTTCCTGGCAGAGAACTAGTTCTTAGGAGATGGGGATGGGAAAAAAAAAAAGAAAAAAAATAGACCAGGAGAGTTCTACACATCATCAATAAACATTTAGAAAATAGAATATTTTTAAAAATCCAATTCAGAAGGGCAACAAAATCTACAAGGTGCTACTAAAATGTAATGTGTATTGGACACATGTGCATAACAATACCATAGGTGAAAAGTAAGGTTGATTGGGGAAAAATTTACAGGCAAGAGGGTCGACAGTGTAGAGGAGTTTCCCTGACCTCCTATAAAAAGAATTTTTTTAGGTCCATGAGCAGCTGGATGTACCGTGGACAGTGCTTCAAAACCACACTGCCCCTGCAATGTTGTATGTGTTCATACAAATGCTAGGAGGGGCCAGTGAATAACTGGTCAACTAATTAACAATAATTGCTTCTTAGCTGCGTAAATGGCCTTACTGGACCAGAGCTTGTCCAGAGGAGTTCACATGCTGACGCTGCTGGTAACAGCAGCTTGCTAACTCAGCAACTGGCCAAACTACCAAAAGGAGGAGGGCATGAACTTTCTGGGACACCTGGGTTTTCCTTTCCTTAAAACCTAGACTTTACGGCTGCCTAACACAGTGGTTACAAGTGCAGATTCTGTCACCACACTGTCTGGTTAATCTGAACCCCTATGTGCCTGAGTTTCCTCAACTGTAAAGTGGAGATAATACCTACTTCGTTGGGACTGTTAAAGGGACTAAATGGAAAGGTCTCAAGTGCTTAGAACTGTGCCTGGCAAGTAGTAGGCTCTGAACAAATGTTAGTTCTTATTATTGGTAATCATTACATATGGTTATTGAAGTGATTTTTAAACTAGAAATATTAAGAAAGCACGAGGGGACCATGAGCATACAGAATATTTTAACAAATTTTTGGAAGGTGGAAACTCAAATGGAATAGCAGGAACCAATGAAGCAGGCCAGAGGACCCACAACCTGAATACACATCTAATCCCTGGGGGACCATGTACCTGATAACAGAAGCTGGAGCAGCCAGGGACTCAAGGCCAGGTAAGGAGGGCAGGAATGATGGGAAGGACTGACAATCAAGGGGCTGAAGTCTCTGTATGAGACAGTGGGCTCCCCCAGCCTCACTGCCAGATTATTTAACTCAGGTGTTAACCCTAGGGCAAAAAAAATTGGTGGAGTCAGTTTTTTTTTTAAAAAAAGGAATAAGCTTTTCAACTGATTTAGAGGAGCTAGTGTGGGCCCTGGGCACCCCCAAACAAAGAATCTTTCAAGAACTGACCATTTCATGCTTAAGGGACATCCCAAGTGAGCGTTCAACTGCTAGCTCTTTCTTTACCGCTAACTTAAAATCATTTTCTGAGATGTTTCTCTGACATTCAGGGCTTCTCCCGGGTGAATCTTGGCTCCCCAACCTGTTCTCCATAAATTAAGGGCTTAGGTTTAAGTGACCCTCATGTGGCTCCTTTTGTTTGTTTCTTTTTTACTTTTTTTAAGTTCTTTTATTTATTTTGTAGTGGAAGTACTGAGCCCAGGACCTCGTGCATGCTAAGCGTGCACTCTACCACCGAGCTGTCTCCCTTCACCCACTCATGTGGTTTTTAATCAGATTTTTGAACCATAATTTTGATCAATCAGTTTTTAAATTGCCTAGTTCTCAAATATGAGTTGAAAACCAAGGCTCACATACATTTGAGGAAAGCTGATAATGTGAAAAATAAACACAAAAGTAAATGGTCATTAGCTTTGGAGGAAACATAATTCAGGCGACAGTATGAGTACTGATAAAGCTAATTTGTATATTGGGCCCCACCAGATATCAGGGGGCCACCTCGGTGGCCTGGCCCAAGTCACAAATCTAAACCCAAGTTAGCCTACACTTAGGAGCAACACCTGTCAAAGAAACCTAACACAGCAGTCACGATCCCCCAACTCAGCTTTGGCTAGTTTGCCCGACCCTGGAAAACAGGACCTGCTGGCCTAACAATGAAATCCCTGGCCTCCTAGCCAATCACGCCCAGTTCCCCATTGCCTCTTCTCTATAAAACCAGCTCTTGCCCACCCTCCCACCCCCATGCCCGGAGGCACTGTGTTCCCTCCATCTATGGGTCATATTCCCTTGACTGAAGGATAGCAAGCTCATTATTAAGTTGTTGTAGTTTTGTCATTTGACAGTATCCTCGGAGAGATTCAAGAAGATTGCATTGGTTAAAAAAAAAATAGATCCCATGAAAACAAGAAACAGAGAACAAGAAAGAGCTGTGGGAAACTGCAGGTATAACTGCTAAAATTGAGAATGACAGTCGGAAAGTTGGAAGGTAAAGAGGAAGTCTCCCAGGAAGTAGAGCAAAGGCCCTGACAGAATATGTGAGGAAAAAGAAGGTAAGGACTTCGGTGGTCAGTTCCCATCTGAATAATGGGAATGTCAGGAAGAGTGACAATACCCGGCGGTAGGAAATCACCAGAGAAATCGTAGGTGGTCATCTCCCAGGGCTGATGGGAGGGTCACGTGTTCAGCTTGAAAAAGTCCTCTGAATCCAATGACAGCAGAAAGACCCACACCAAGATGCAGTAACTTCGAAATTTTATAAGCCAAGGATAAAAGACAAAATCCTAAAAGAAACCAGAAGGATAGTAACTGCCACCAAAGAAATCAGACTTAGCACCCTGAACATTCACCCAGCTTAAACTGTTTAGAATAAAATACTTGTTGTGGGACTTGGTCCATCTTGTTAGTCCTTTCGGTTCCTGATTAGGCCCTACTGACTCAGCACCCGAGAGCCTTTACTGGTGATTTCTCAATAGACTGCAACTTGTTTTGAGTATTAGTTCCTTAGGTATGTTCTCACTGCTTCCTGTTCAAGGACAGAGCATTTGTACTTAACGCTACATCTTCTCCTTCCATTTGACTGGAACTCAGGATAAACCTCTAGGTGAGTAAATTACCGTCTCTGGCAAAGCAGTTTTTCTTCCACACCTAGACTTTGGCTCTCTTATTCATCTTACTCTTGCTGCTTTTCTCTCTTCGGAGGCAAGAGGACAGGCCCTGGGGTCACAGAGACTTGGGTGTAAATCCTGTCCCCAAGACAGCAGCCTCACTGCTGCTCTTAGCACTTACTGACAGAGCGGGAAGCCTGGAGAGGGCCTTGGAGGTCTTCTCTCCTCCCCAGAAATGGCCTTGGGACCAGCAAAAGTGACCCCTGAACTTGGCTGTAGAAGTGCAGATTGATTCCAGCTGGTCTGTGGCTACCCTGTGCTTATTTTTCTCTCCAGGGAGGCCTGCTGTCATGGTGGTACCAACTTGTTGCTGTTTTTGAGACTGGTCTTGCATCCTAGTTTGGGCATGTGACCAGAGGGGCCTACAAGACCCCTCCTCAGATGAGAGTGTGCTTTCCCACTTCAGTGGAGCACATCCTGTGCATCTGGGCCTGGACTCTGAGACCTCTCTGACATTGGCCTGGTTTTTGTTTTATTTTTTGTTTCATATCCTTTACCTTCATGAAAGTCTGAAGTAAGTACACTAGGTAGAGCCCTGTGAGTTTTCAATGATGCATCCCTGGGTAATGAGTGAAGGTGGTACTTTGAATGGGATCACTGAAACAATTTGGACTTTATAATTTAAATACCGGCTAAGACTTTGCTTGGGAGAAAGGTCTAGAACCACTGATGCCAGGCTGGCTGCTGTGGCCTTCCTGGTTTGAATATCCTCAAGGACTATAATTATTTATGGGAGGAAAAGCACAGCCATGGAATTGACAGGTGTAGATGGAGAGCCAGAGGAAACAGCTGAATGGATTAAAACAGAAATTCGGATGGGGAGGGGTATGTCAGTAAAGAATAGGGAGGCAAACCAGGAAGGCCTCAGCACTCAGCCTAGTATCAGTGGTTCTAAATCTTTCTCCCACATCTCATGGTTTTGGCTGCTTTGGCAAAAATGAAAGTAATTCAGAAAGAGCTCTGGGCTGCCAAGCCCACTACGTCCTTCCGTAAAGGGAAGGAACATTATGCCAGAGGGAGAGTTGGGCAGATACTTCTTTGGGTTGGAAAGTGACCCACATTGGACAGATAACCACTAGCGAGACTCTACAGGGAGAGGGCATCCAGAGACAACGGAAAGGAAGGAGCTTTGCAGTCAAAAAGTTCAGTAACCTTGTGACTTGAAAGAGCTTCCCAAGCAACTGAAGTGGGCTCAACACAGGAGCGACAAAGGAGCTCTGTCTTGTTTTAGGCATTGCCAGAGGAAGGTCATGCTTGGGCTTAATCAAGATCTTCAATTAGCTGCAACCTTTGCAGAAATGTGGGTAGATGGGAAAATTCCAAATCAGCTGAGCTAGATCAAGGTGGGACACAGAAAACAAACCTATAGTGGAACTATCCAACTCCTCCTGTAGGTATTAAATGGAATACCTTGGAGATTCCTGAAATGTTGAGGGTGTTATATGATGAGATAGGTATCCCCTATTTTATGCCTTTAAATTAAATGATGATTGATGCTGTGATAAGGGGGCCTCCAACTGCTTGGACTCCGTGTGTGACCTGTTGGGAGGATGGGATGGAGAGAGAGAGAGAGAGGTTGTCACAGACCTACTAGCTTATTTGCTCTGAATTGGGCTAAGTGATAGCAGAAGATCAGGATTATTCAGAAGAAAGAAACCAGGAAGAGTAAAAGGGTTGAAACAAATCTCAGGACCAGTAAACCAGGTGGCAATGTTCATCAACCTTATCTTTCCCTTTTCAGAAAATGGCAGCCCAGGAGAAAGCGTCCGATGAGAGGATTTCCCAGTTTGATTATGCTTTGCTGCAGGAGCTCTCTGCTCTTCTAGGCATAGATGCGTTTCAGCTTGCCAAGGAAATAGAAAAAGGGGAGCAGAAAGACCGAGAAAAAATGCAGAAAGGCTTTAATTCACAAATGCGCAGTGAAGCAAAAAGGTTAAAGACTTTTGTGACCTATGAGTCCTACAGCTCGTGGACACCCCAGGAGATGGCAGCGGCTGGGTTTTATTTCACTGGTGTAAAATCTGGGGTTCAGTGCTTCTGCTGCAGCTTAATCCTCTTTGGTACTAGCCTCCGGAGACTCCCCATGGAAGACCACAAGAAATTACGTCCAGATTGTGAATTTCTTTTGGGCAAAGATGTTGGTAACATTGCCAAGTATGATATAAGAGTAAAGAATCCAGAGAACAAGCTGAGGGGGGACGACAAAGCAAGGTACCAAGAAGAGAAGACCAGACTGGAATCCTTCAAGAACTGGCCATTTTATGCCCAAGGGACATCCCCAAGGGAGCTCTCAGCTGCTGGCTTTGTCTTTACAGGTGATGTGAAATCATTTTCTGAAGTATTGCACTGGAGTTTTAACTTTAGGGTCCATATTTCAGTTGGAATATTTTGTAAATCTTTCCTCTCTTGGTCAATGTGCTATATTAGGTATAAGGTCTATTTTATTAAAATTCAACTTCAGTATTTTTACTTGAGTTTTATTTTGTTTAGCACAGTGTGTTAATTTGCCCCAAATATATAAATTAAGAAAGTGACTTTAAAAAAATCTGGACCTAAAATAATACTGACTGGGTTCTTAAGGCCCTGAAAATAAACTGGGAGGTCAGCCTGACCCCAGTCTCCTTCTTTCCCATCTTCCTTTTGCTGCTCTTAAATGATTGTTTGATTCTTTTAATTGCTGCAATATTGAAAAGGTTTTTTTGTTTTTTTAACCTTAAGGCTGACTCTAATGTATAGGGCAAATTGCATTTCAGAACATTGCACATTCTTTGAATTGTCCTAGCCATGCCTTAAATGTTACGACAGATCGAATAACAGCTATCATTTACTGAGTACTACCTGATGCTAGGCATGGATTAAGCACTAATACTAAATCAACAAACTTGCCCTTTCCCCCTGTTTCACAGTTGAGTTCATTGAGCCTCAGAGTTTAAGAAATGTGCCTAAGTTTCCAGAAATTTCATAACAAAACTACAGCGTAGGTCTTCTAACTGTGCTTCACTTCATGAGTGTGGGGGTCTCTCTGCTTCCTCACTCCTTAGGGAGAGCATATTGAGTTAAACAGCTTTGAGTTCTGAGTGTGAAGGGTGGCTACGGCTGAGGGGTGGAGTCTTAGTTTTGGAAAATGGTCACTTAGGGCAGTGGGGCTGTGGATGGGGATTCAGCCAGATGACAGTGTGAGTGGACAGAAGTGATGGAGCATGTCTCATTCATGCCCAGAGCAGCTAGCTTCCGGAGATCTGGACCATCCTGTGGTGCTGTTACTGGGCAAGCTAAGTGTTTTCCTTCATGCGTAGGTAAGCGTGACACTGTACGGTGCTTTTCCTGTGGTGGATGTTTGGGAAACTGGGAAGAAGATGATGATCCCTGGAAGGAACATGCCAAGTGGTTCCCCAAGTAAGTAGATAAATATTTTTTGCTTGTAGTTATTTTTTTTAAGACAAACAAAAGTCACCTTGCCAGAGCAGAAACTTCAGTTTTGATCTTTTCCCTATCCTAAACTGGAACACTCCAGAATTTATTCAAGCAAGAAAACCCTGATTTACATTGTGGAAATTTTTAATTACATAATTTTAAAACAGTTTCCTGAATGTTGTTTTATCATCCAAAATACTTGTTTTGCCAAGTAGAAGTTTCAGAATCTGCCATTATAAATAATTTGCATAGGAATAATGTAATATGGTATAGAAAGGAAGTTGGAAGGTAAAACAATGTTTAAAACATTACAAATGGTTTCATGTACTGCTGAATATATAGCAAATGAAAATATTTTATTTCAAAAACTCAGACCATTTCTGTCTTGTAAATAAGTTCATTTGTATCATTTTAAATCACAAATAAGAGATACCACACAATGTCTATCTGTCTGACTTACTTCACTTGGTATGATAATCTCTGGGTCCATCCATATTGCTGTAAATGGCATTATTTCATTGTTTTTATGGCTGAGTAATATTCCATTGTATATACATACCACATCTTCTTTGCAAACACAACATTGTAAATCAACTATACTTCAATTAAAATTTTTTTAAGTTTCTCTGAGAAATCCTGCTTAAAAAAAGGTCAGTAAGAGTTTTGATTATTGCAATGGCCTTGAGTTCCCTGCTTAGAAAATAAAGTGTATTTTAATTATTTTTATTGTTCTATTTACTAGTATTTTCTACATATCTACCAAGTACAGATTCCTTCTTTTAGCCATTTTTAAAACTTTCATTATGGAAAATGTCCTACTAAAATAGAGAACGGTATATAAACACTTATAAGGCCAAATCTTATTTCATTCATCACTCGCCCAACTTTTCCCCAGAAAGAATAATAACCAGATAATTTTAAAGCAAATCTCAGATATCATATAATGTCACTGGTTGATACTTTAGTATATAACTTTAAGACAGAATATTTTTTAAAAAACAACCACAGTATCATTCTCTCTCCTAAAAAGGATTAACAGTAATTCCTCATAACATCAAATATCTGAGTCAGTGTTCAAACGTTCTTATCTCTCCACCTCCTTCCCTCTCTCTTTACCATTGGTTGATCTGAATCAGGTTCCAAACAAGGTCCATACCTTGAATTTAGTTGATATAGCTTAAGATTTTTAACTTACAGATTTCCTTCTCCCCTGTCTTTTTCTTGTCGCTTAGTTGTTAAAGGAGACATGTAGTTTGTCTTGTAAAATTCCCTACACTCTAGGTTTGGCTGAATTGTTCCTGTGGTGTCATTTAACATGTTTTCTACTTGCTGTATTTCCTATAACCTAATAATACTTGGATCTAGCAGTGTTCTTTGGCTCATGTTCTATTTCTTTAACAAATATTTATCATACATCTATTACATGCAAAGAAGTTGTTGGTTGGATCATAGGTCAACCATAAAACAACTGGGCTGTTATTTATGTTTATAAATCACCTTGCACAGAGATAGCCATGCCTACAGAAATGAAAGGATGTCTATGATAAGGGAAGAAAGCAATATGTAAAATAATGTGTAGTGTGAGCCTTGAAAAATGTTTAAAATGACTCAACCTATATATGGACTTGTTTGAAATACATACAGAAAAAGTTATGAAAAGATATAAACCAAACAAGAGATGTCTTTGGGTTGGATTTGGGTCTGTCAGGAGATGAGGTGGAGAAGGATTTCCACATTTTACTTTGTTCATTTCTATCTTTTTAAATTTTAAGAAATAAATGAGTTTTACTTTTGCTTGTTGAAAAAAAAAGGGGGGGAGTGGGAAAGGAAGGGAACAGAGGAGGAGAGAAGGAAGAGGAGGAGAGGGAAGGAAAAAAAGGAGGGGAGTCCTTCCTGACAAGCAGATGAGACAATTTTAGGGATGCGTGAAGCCAGCTTGTTATATAGTTTGAATGTCATTCTGGTTCTTCGACCAATCAGAATAGACACCAGTATACTTAGTGTTGACAGTGTACCACATGGGTATGTACCACGTGAGTACCAGCCTTGGCTCCATAGTCATGGCTCTTGGGCACCTGTCTCAGAAGATGCCTGTTCCACCTTTCGTCTGTCTGTCATCATAAGCGCATGGTTAGCCAATACATTTCAGAGCTGGAATTAGAACTCAGAATCTAACCTTAGCTGTTTGGATGTCAATTTGATAGTATGGCTTTGTTGCTGTTTTTATAAACTGTATACACCTATACTTTCTAAAATGTAGTACTCAACTAAGGTACTAAATAACTGTAAATTAATAAAATATGCTGATTTTGTTGTAATTTTTAAAGAAAGTAAGTAGTACATGTTGAGTGCTTTCTCAGTCCACATGAAGCATGTGGGGAGGGCACAGGCCCATCCCTCATGTGCTTGGTAGGTTATGTACAGATTTAGGGCACTCTTTGGAGGGCTCTGTATACCCAAAAACGGGACCTCAGCTGCTGAGAATGGTGGCCCTGGAGAAATGTATGAATCATCTGATGGAGTCCCATTTTTTCATGGGACTACGAGAGAACAGAGGCAAGATGGATCACTTCCCCATTAGTGGCAGAACTGGAACTGACATTCTGGACTTGACTCCCAGCCCCTTGTTAATATAACACCGCTAGAGAGGAAACTTAAATTTGAATGAGAGGGATTTTTTAAAAGTTAACTTAAAACTTGCTTCTCTTTTGAGGAAAGGATTGTGTTTCTTTAATGTATTCAATATGCTCTTTTTAAAAAATTCAACTTATTAATTTCCATTTTCTTTTTAAGGAGTAGTGATGTATTGTGTTCAGTAGATGAAATTTACTATTATTTGTTCTTACTGCCAATAACTTTCATATAACCAGAGGAACTAGATTTAGTCACCATAGTTTAACAAACAAAAAAGCTCCATTCTATATATTATTGTAAATCAGTCTTTGATTGTATTATATTTTATTTCAAGAGAAAAGATAATCTGAAGATTTAATTTTACATTATTACACATGTTGTCATTCATGGAAATAATAATGAGAATAATGATAATTCTCATAAGTTTGGGGGTAAATTTTTGACAGTTGTATCAAAATAAAATTGAGCAGTTTAAAGTATACAATGCAGTAAGTTTTAACAAATGTTCATGGTGTAACCATCACTGCAATTAGGAAATATAGGCTATTTCTCTCACAGTATTGGGGTAAATTTTAATTCTGTTTATTAATTATAGATGTGAATTTCTTCAATGTAAGAAAACCTCAGAGGAAATCATCCAGTATATTCAAAGCTACAAGGGATTTGTTGGCGTCACGGTAATTTATAACAAGAGATTTTTTTTTAATTTGGCTTTTGATTACCTATTAATATCTGAATGAGAAGGGGGTGGCATTCCTCTTTTGTCATGGGCTCTTTTTCTTTCTTCTTTCCCTGTTTTCTTCCCCTGCCTCTCATGAGGCAGAGTGAAGAAATTTAGATTCTCTTGCTAAACTAGAGCCCTTGGAATTTTTTCCAGGGCTGCCTTTGATTATCTGTCTGCCTTCCTGAGTGTCTTCCCCTCTTTGACCGAGGCCACCTCCCTTGAGTTCCCTTGGCTGCCCCCATCTGAGTGCCTGCCTGAGACGTTCGGAACACTGCATGACTGCCCACTACGGGCCTCAGAGCTGGTTACTCTATGCTCCATCAGTAAGGCTCCCCTCGTGGCAGGTGATGGAAAACCCAACTTAAATTGGTTTATGCAAAAAAACAAAAACAAAAAAATAAACGGGGTGTAAGGGCATTTGTTGGGTAACATGACTCAGATGAGAACCCTGCAGAGAATATGGCTGCTTGAAAGTGGGGGAGGAGTGTTACCTCAGAAAGAAATCTGGGTACAGTTATCAGAGAAGGAACAATTGCTCAATATCTAACCACCCTCTGAATCCAGTTTCCTTCCTGTATCTTGTCTTCCTCACTAGTCAAAGTACCTCTGTGATATCTAAATATAACTCAGCTTTTGAGCTACATCTCTAGAAAAAGTGACTTGACCCCAAGAAATCTTCCTGTTGAGTATAAATAATTATTCATAATTTTTTTCATTTAATCTGCATTTTAAAAATTCCGACATGGATATAAATAGTAATTGAAGGATTCTCTAACAACCCTGCCACTCAATCCAATGAAGCTCTTCATTTTGGGGCAGGGGGTGAAGGAGGAAGTTCTTTTAATTTTTATACGTAGGTAGTTGTATTCTCCAAGTCAAACAGTTGATAAGTTGAGTTTTTTTTTTAATTGAGATATAGCTGATGTACAATATTATATCAGTTTCAGGTGTATAACACAGTGATTCACAATTTTTAAAGGTTATACTCCATTTCTAGTTATTATAAAGAATTGGCTATGTTCCCTATCTGCACAATTTATCCTTGTAGTTTATTTATTTTATATACAATAGTTTGTATGGTAACTTGAATTTTAATTTTCTTCAGGGAGAACATTTTGTGAATTCCTGGATCAAGAGAGCTTTACCAATGGCATCAGGTAGAGACTCAGAAATATTTTAAAAGGCTTTGCTTATTTATTTCTTCTTTTGCTTTTTTTTTTTGTCCTAATCTTTTTTTTAACCCTTCCATTTTCCTCCTCGTGCCTCAGAATTAAAAAAACAAAACAAAACAACAACAACACAACATTTCATTAGAGATTTCTGGTCTCCTGGAGTGACTTAGTTTTTTAACATAAATGAGCAGAAGGAAATAGGGCAGGGTTGGGTCCTTGACTGATATTTCTCTTAAAACAATTAAAGTTTCTGGATAAAATGGTTTTGAAAACAAATAGATCAGTGTCTGTTAAGAAATTAAATATGAGATAATAGAAAATATACACTGGTCTCTGCCCCCGGTTCCAGGCACAGAGCTCATAAAACCCATGTAAATCCTATGTGATAAGAAAACTAGGAGAGTCTCCTGTTCTAATATTTGGTCTTTGACCCTGTCCCTGACACAGGGCTCTTAAAGTCCTTGTAAACTCCTAAGTGATAAAAGCACTAGGAGCATCTTTGGTTCCTAATGAGGTGACTCTGGGTGGGCTCCTGGATGGGGGCTGGTCACCAGAGAGTCCAAGCCATGATTAGAAGCTTGGAATTTTCAGCCCCACCCTCATTCTCCAGAGAAAGAAGAGGGGCTGTAAGTGGAGTTAATGATTGATCATGCCTACGTGAGGAGACTTCCATACAAATCCCAATGAAACAGGGTTCCAGGAGCCTCCAGGTGAGTGAACATACTGACACCTGGAGTGTGATGCACCCCAGCTCCATAGGGACAAAAGCCCTGTGCTCTGGACCTTCCCTCAGACCTCCCCCTATTAGCCAGTTCATCTGGCTGTTCATTTCTACCCTTTATCATGGTAAACGTAAGTGTTTCCCTGAGTTCTCCGAGCCACTTTAACAAATGAAGTGGAGGGTGGAGCAGTCTTGTAGGATTGGACCCTTAACCTGTAGGATCTGATGCTATCTCCAGGGAGATAGTGTCAGAATTGAGTTAAATTGTAGGACATCCAGCTGGTGTCACAGAGAATTGCTTAGGTGGGGGAACCCCCCTCACATCTGGTACCACAAGTATTGTGAATGTGATCGCAGTGTGAGTGAGAGTAAAGTAGACACACAGGAGGAAAAGACTGAGATTTTTCTAGTACATGAAGTAATACTCAAATTAAAAATGAAGTGACATTTAAATGAAGTGACATTAAAAAGAAGCTGAGGTTAAGTGGAATATTGAAGCAAGCTTTCATCTTAGGAAATTTGCAGTACATAAATTTATTAACATTTAATTAATACCAGTTTAATTTTCAAATTCTCATGGGGTACAGAAGACAGGAACCAAACCCCAGAGCCAGCCTAACATGGAATGTCTAGTGGAGACCACCCCCAAAGAGTGGACACCCAAAGGGCAAGAAATAAATCTTCCTGCTTTTAAGGGAACTACAAGAAAAATTTGTCTTTCTCAAATCTTGATACTAACTTGGGGACGAGGGGAAGCTCCTCTAGCTAGCTTTTTCTTGCTTTATTCTGATGCTATATAATGGAAAGATAATTTTAAAATATTAGGGAAAATTTTGAATACACACAGAAATAAGACAATAGTAAATACCCACCATGTAGCCTCCATTCTGCTTCAGCAATTTAACACATGGTTAATCTGGCTTCATCTATACCCCTTTCTTTTTGAACCCCCTCCTCCAATTATATTGACGTAAACTCCGTAAGTCATCTGTCATCCTATCTGTAAATATGAAGGGATAACTTGAACACTGATACTTGTAATATCAAAGCTTGCTGGTTTCACCATATGCCTTTTATTCAAGCTTATTGCAATGGCAGCATCTTTGCTAATGAAGAACTCCGACTGGACTCTTTTAAGAACTGGCCCCAGGCATCCCCTGTGGGAGCTGCAGCTCTGACCAAAGCAGGTTTTTTCTACACAGGTGAGTCAGCAGTTTGCCTCACGCTTTTGCCTTGCTGCTCACTCAAACCCTACAGGCACTTCATGATCCCGGACTTGTATTTAGCTGGACTCAACAATCTTCACTCCTTTCATTATTCTTTATCTATCCCTTTTCCTCTCTGTTCCATAAATCTTCTCCCAGTTTTCCACACCTCCCTTAGGTAGTGAAGCTCCAAACTTGAAAACTTAAGATCTGGGCTAACAAATACAAGAGTTCTGTTTGGGGTAATTATCAGGTCTTTTAGTTTTTACACTTAAGTCTCCACCACCTCTTCCCACCCCACGCCTCTGGAAACTGTCACATGATTCTTCGGTTTCTATCTCTAACCGGAACTTAGTAGTCAGATGCCATGCCTAACTATAAGAGGAGCTGGGAGTTTAATCTGTCTGGGTGGCAATGTACCCAGAAAAAAATCGGGGTTTCTGTTACTTTGGAAGAATGAGAGATACCAGGACTGTGGATAACAGTCTTTGCCACATTCTCCTTGGAAGAGAAAATAAGGAGATTCCTTTTTATGATTCCTAAGCATGTAGAATCTTTGGTCAGTTCCTAGTATTCTCTTTAGCTGCTGGTCCTCAAGGAGTTCCACTCTGTAATCCACAAAGAGTGGATTCAGCGGAGGGCTGGTTCGCCTCAGCTAAATCTCTGCCTGAGGTACAATAAAGCAAGTATGTCCTTCCTGGGTACGCTGCAGGCCGCCTTCAGACCAAACTGAGTTACAGTGGAAGTCCATGTGGACCTTTTACTGAGAGGTCAAGTCACAGATATCAGAGTGTTCACTTTAACCAACAGGTATATTCCATTGGTACAAAAAAACCTTAATGCCTCACAGTCTTAAGCATTTGGAAATTCACTGTTCCACCCTTTCTTCCTACTCATTCTATTCTGTCTTCCTTTTGTCAGCCTTCCTCAAGGACCCTCTGTCCAGTGTCCTCACCCTCTTTCTTTTTGAACTTCCACTTCTCCCCACAAATCCTGATCATCTGACGCTTTTGGGGTCTTGCAAGCTCCAGGACCTCCTATTTTTGTCCAGACACAAAGGGAAGTTTTCCTCTGCTCTGGCTTTACAATGTCTACAGAGGTCCAAGGGTAGAAGGAAGATGATGGATTTTCCATTTCTAGTTCAATCCTTCAGTAGATCCAAATGCTAATTTCCTTCCAAAGAAACAGTCTCATGAGAAGACTTGATCCTACTTCTAGTGGAAGAGACCTGGCAATAATGTAGTAAGAGGCATTTGATTCTTCATGAACTTACTTAGGAGGGCTGCTACATTTGCTCATATATATTTTCCTGAGCTCCAAGTATATTTCTGATTTGTTCATTAAACAAATACTTACTGAGTGCCTAATTAGTGCTAGGCACTCTTCTAGGCCCATGAGAGTCATTAGGAGCAAAACAGGCAAAAATCTCTTCCTTCATGGAGCTTCAGTACCACATTCTGACTTGCAAGTCTCTGGCTCTATAGAATGAGGATGGGACAGGCAGAGGGTGTTCATCGATGTGCATGGTACATAAGGGTATTCACTGATATTTGTTCATTACCCCATTGGTGAGAGGAGTCCTGTATAGAATACTGCCTCACTGGGGACCCAGTTTGTGACTTAGTCACAAAATCTGATTGAAACAGCAAGTAGGGTTTTGCTAATAAAGGCCTGGTGGTTATTATCTGTGTCATTTGACAAATACACTTGCCAGTGGCACTGATAAAATTTCCTTACTTTTAGGTATAAAGGACACTGTCCAGTGTTTTTCCTGTGGAGGATGTTTGAAGAAGTGGGAGGAAGGTGATGACCTATTAGAACAACACACCAGATGTTTTCCCAAGTGAGTAGAATGAATGTTTAGTGTCTATAAATTTGGATGTACTTGAACAATTTCCCCCTCATTTTATCTTCCTAAGTTTGCACCCACCCCTCAGATTCCTGTGATGAAGGATGACTCTTTATCTCTGTCATCCCTTTTATCTCTTGCTCTCATGATACCCTTCCCATCTAACCTTGCTCTCACTGTAGTTACAGCACAGTTTTGGTGAGATCATTATTTTCACATTACATGTTTACATTATTATGACTTCATAAATGCTGAGCTCAGTAGTAAATTATGATTTATCATCCATCCCTGTGCAACTTCCAGTATTTTGTAGGAATAATTGTCTTGCTTATTAGCATGTTTGCTTAGTTTTTTGGTTTTTGAGGTGAAATTCACACATATAAACTATTTTAAAGTGCACAGTCCAGTGGCATTTAGTACATGCACAGTGTTCTTCAACCACTCCCTCTATCTAATTACAAAATATTTTCATGACCCCAAAAGAAAACTGTACCCATTAAGCACTCACTCCTTATCTCCCCACTGCACCCTAGCTTTTTAGAACCATCATCTTTCTGTCTCTACAGGTTTACCTTTTCTGGATATTTCATACAAAAGGTCATACTGTATGCTTCCATTTATATCTGACGTCACTTAGCACAATGTTTTGAGGTTCATCCATGTTGTAGCATGTATCAGTACTTCATCCTTTTTTTATGGCTGAGATACATGTATATATGTATGTGTATATATGTATGTACATATGTATGTCAGTTTCTCCATCTCCTTGACATTATTTTCCTGTTTTAAAAATACAGCCATTTGCTTAGTTTTAAAAATCTATTTAGCACCATGTCATTTTCAAACTCTCCCAAATGTTTAAATCTCCTCTCCAGTCATTCAGACATGTAACATATCCCAGTACTTTTATTTTCTTGAAGGAGTCTGTCCTGAAGTCTCTGACTTGTTTCAATATGAACTACTTGTCCTACAGTCAACCTAGAAGCCTGGGAACATTCTTCATGGTCAATAGGGATTTCTATCGCCTCTCTCCTGTGTTGTAGCTTCTCTTTCCTGGTTCTATTGTCATCCTCTTCTTGGTTTATTGACTCACCTTGGTAGAACATTCCTCCACAGTTCCCTGGGAAAGACTGCAAAAGACATACATGTTTTTAGCTTCCATTTAATGCATATATCTGAATGTGTGTGTGTGTGTGTGTGTGTGTATATTTCCCCCTCACAATTCTTTGATAGTTTAGCTAGGTATAGAATTCTAACTAGGAAGTCATTCTAATTCTAAATTGTAGAGACATTGCTACATTTTCTAATAGCTTCCAAAGTTGCTGTTGAAGTTCCATGCCTTTCTGATTTTTAATTCTTTGATTGCAAACTACTTTTTCCCATCTTGGGAACATTTAGGATTTTGTTTGTTTCTAGTGTTCTAAAGTTTCATGAAGAAATGGTTATTTTTTAATGTTTCTTTTCTGTGGAACTTCAATCGTTTTTCTTTCTTTCTTTCTTTTTTGCTTATTTTTCATGACCAAACTCTTCAGAAATGTTCAACTGTAAGAAGAAATTTGTTCTTTTCACTTTGTAAGCAGTAGGAGTCTTTATAAAAATAAATATTAATACAAATGGATCTTAAATACTTCTATCTAATTCTAAGATTCTAAAGAGGATACAGTTTTAAAGGGGTTTTGACAAAAGTAGTTGCTTTTTTTCTTTCTTACTTGGATTTAATACTTAGTAAATTGTTAAACAGTGGAGAGAGTATTCTTAATTCTTGGAAAAATAAGCTAGGATGCAGTCTTATTTTATTTAGAACCTTTTCTGGAATTGATAAACTCCTTTTTTGTGTGGCTTTTTATTCTTCTGCCCCTTTTTTAAAACTGCAAAGTAGGATGCTGTTAAAGGAGTACCTAAAATATTTATGGTATGATTTAAAGAACAATCAACAAAAGAAACCAATGAACCCACCACTAAAATTAAGAAATTGAATAGACAACAAACTTATGGTTACCAGGGGGTATAGGAAATGGGAAGAGATAAATTTGGAGTTAAAAATTTGCACCTCTTGGGGAGTGATGGAAATGCTAGGTATCTTGATTATAGTGGTGGTTTCATGTGTGTATACATCTATCAAAATTCATCAAATTGTATATCTGAAATACGTGTAGTTTACTGTACAGAAATTATACCACAATAAAGTTGTTTTAAAAAAAGAAATTGAATATTACCAAGGCCTTAGCATCCCCAATTCTAATTATATCCTTGTTCCTCCAATCCAGAGGTAAACATGATCCTGAATTTTGGGTTAATTGTTCCTTCCTCTCTTAGTGGTTTTACCATCTACATATATAAACATATTTAACTTTGTCTATTCTTGAAGTTCAAATAAATGGAAGCATACTACATGGTTCTTCTGTGATTGGCTTATTTTACTCCACAATGTTTTTGAGACTCATTCATAATTATGTGTAAAGCTGTAGTTCACTTTTTTCACTGCTATATTGTATATTACTTTATGAGTATATAATTTATCCATTCTATTCTTGATTCAACATCTACATTGTTTTCAGAGGGTTGCAATTCAATTAATACCACGTGGACACTGTTATACATGATTCCCAGTGCTCATGTGTGTTCCTCTAGGATACATAACCAACGATGGACTTTCAGAGTAATAGGGTTTGCACATATTTAACTTTACTAGATTTTGCAAAACTTTCTTCAAAGTGATTATACTAATTTATATTTCCACTAGCATAGATATTTCCATTCTACCTGCTTCCTCACTAACTTAACATTGCCGAAATTTTATCAATCTAATTACTAATAATGTTAAGCATATTTTCATACTTTATCATAAAATTCCTTTGTTCTTTTTCTTCAGGAGCAGATCTTGGCTATTCTTTGCCCTTTTCTCTTTCATATGCAGAGAATATATGAAATGTCCCCATTTATTCTTCATAGTGCTCCTTATTCTTAAGTCTTTATTTGACATTAATATATCACTCTACTTTTCTATGAATAGTTTTACATGGTACTATCTTTTTTGAAATCATTTTACTTTTATCTATGACTTTATATTTAAAGTGAGTTTCTTGTAGGCAATACAGTTGGGTCTTGTTTTTTTAACAGTCCAACAGTATCTGCTTTCTAGTGGGAGTGTTTAGAACATTTACATTTGATGTAATTATTGATATGACTGGACTTAAATAAACTGTTTTGCTATTTGTTTTCCATTCATCTGATCTATTCTTATGTTTCTTTTTTTTCTCACTTGCATTTGGGCATCTTTTAGTATTCCATTGGATCTCTATTGTTGGCTTATCAGCTATACATCTTTGTCTTCTTAGTGCCTGCTCTACAATTTACATAATGCATGTTTAACATATCACAGTCATCTTCAGATAATACTGTAACATTTTTCTTCTATTTCCCTCTCCTATCCTTTGTGCTATTGTTGTCATGCACTTTACGTCCACATACATTCTAAATCTCACAATATAGTGTTATAAATTTGCTTTAAACAACTATCTTTTAAATAGTTTTTTAAAGTGAAAAAATAATTTCATATTTACCCATTTAGTCACCATCCCTCGCACTCTTCATTCCTTTGGGTGCAACCAAGTTTCCATCTGTGATTTTCTTTTTAACTGAAGAACTTCCTTGAACAATTTTTGTAGTGCAGGTCTGCTGGCAAATAACTGTATTGGCTTTATTTGTATGGAAAAGTCTTTATTTTCACCTTCCTTCAGAGTCCTTTTCCTTGATGGATCTCTCTACATAGCAACTTTGGACAGAAGCATTGAAAGTCCTACTAGCTCTTTTCCCATAGCTACCCTTCTCTTTCTGGTCTCATCTCCCAATCTTCTAGGAAAATAAAAATGAAGTGTCTTCTTGCTTTATCTTCTGCTTTCCTGTAATTCAGCAGCATGAATATGAGCCAAGATAGTTGTTCCTAGTTTTCTCATTTACCTACTGACATTTATAGTTCTCATCTATCCAAGTTAATGATTGTGGGTAGAGCTCTTTAGAATGTTCTCCCTTGGTTCTTCGGGAGGACATCATACCTGAATTTAAAGAGTATTTATGTTCCAGGTTCATGATGTCTGGCAAATAGTTTTTAGAGAGTATGTTTGTAGCCATCCTTGTCTTCATATTAATGGACTTTTTTAAAATAAATTTTTTTATTTGGGAATAATTTTAGGTTTAGAGAAAAGGTGCAAAGATCATACAGACAGTTCATATATTCCTACTCTGTTTTCTGCTAGTAGTAACATCTTATAGTACCTCAGTACATTTGTTACAATTAAGAAACCAACATTGGTACATTACTATCAACACCAGACTTTATTTGGATTTCATCAATTTTTCTATTAATGAATGTCCTTTTTGTGATTGCTCCAGAATCCATAGATGGAATTGTCTTCTCTATTTTTTTTTAGGTTCATTTTAGTTGGTTTCATGGATGAGTGTTAAATATGCACTCATTCCACTAGATTTGCTGGTTATCCCCACATTAATTTATAAATCATTTATATTTCTATTGTTGAGAGCAAGAGTCTACATGTCTTGTTAATGACACAGAAAGAATCACTGGGAATGTTAATTTTATACTTAATTTTCGCCATTAAAACTCTAACAGTGTTTTTAAGACCTAATGCAAGTGCTTAATTGCATACAACTATTTTTATAACTTTTAACTTTTGTATTTAGTTGTCAGTTTCTCCAAAATATGAAGTCCTCTGCAGAAGTGATTCCAGACCTTCAGAGCCATGGTGAACTTTCTGAATTAATGGTATTGAACACCACCTTGTTTATTTTCAGACTGCACAATCATGTCATTAAAAACTGTTTTTGAACAGGATATCACAAATAAGTTCTACAAATATCTATCTAGCACCTACTATATGCTACTTGCAGATTGCGATACTACAATAAACAAGACATAATACCTAGTTTCATGAAATGTAGCGTCAATCCCTTCTACTTTGGGGCCCAGATTCTTTTAGACTTACAGTTGATCAGCATGCAGGCTACCTGGATTCCATCTATGATCTTCATTTGGAGGACAGTAAGGTCTGATTTGCTAGCCAGCTTTTCTTAAAGCTGGAAAGAAATGTTTCTTTTACAAAAGCAAATTATCAACTAGATCATAAACCAGGATAATAGACTGACCCCTTTAGGTTGAGAAATCTTACATAATTATCTAGGATAACAGCCATTGTCACTTCAGTATACACATACCCCTTATTTGAGGCTGTATGTTAGGTATATTTGGTTTGTTGTACCACAAAAAGAAAAAAGGGTAAATTGATGTTCACTTGATTCATCTTTCATATTTGTGAACTGAAAATGAAACTGAAGAAAAAAATGCTTGGGGATAGAGAAACAACTTATTTTTATTTTGTTGATGCATAACTGACTTACAGTAAGTTTCAGGTATATAACAGTGATTTATTTCTATAAATTACAAAATGATCACCATCTTAAGTCTAGTTTCCGTTTGTCACCATACAAAGTTACTACCACAAATCCCTATCCCTGTGACTTACTCATTTTATAACTGAGTACCTCTTAATCCCTTTCATCTATTTTGCTCATCCCCTCACCTCCCTTAAATAGCTCATTTTTAAAGGAAGAAACATAATCTTCCTACATCCCAGGTATGTAAAATTAAAACTATGTTGATAACTAAGGCCAGAAGCTGCACCTGATGATTTGTGGAGGGTTCATCTTGCTCTAGACGTTGTGATTCTGATCATTTGAACAGTGATCGCTGCTCGAGTTGCCCATGGAATGTGCTGTCTGGGAACCACACGAGACCACACACTTGCATGTATTTGTAGATCACTTGCTGTTTCATATTTGTAGCACTCCTCCCTTAAATTGACATAAATATTTGAGGGTGGGCTGTGTTTAGATGTTTGATCACCAACTATAACATGTCTCACCTGCTATACAAATTTTGATTTAATAGAAGATTTTATTTTCAAAGGAAACCACAAGTGAAAGTAATCTTGAAGATTCAGCAGCAGTTAGCTCCGTAGTGCCAGGTAAGGATTTGGAAGTAGCACATGGGGTTATATGAATGCGTACATACATCTGTATGCAGGGGATTTTAGAAGAGTATTTGTAACTGTGCCTCCTTGCCTCTCTCCACAGAGATGGCTCAGGGTGAAGCCCAGTGGTTTCGGGAAGCAAAGAGTCTGAGTGAGCGACTGAGAAAAGCCTACACCAATGCTCGTTTCTGCCACATGGCTTTGCTGGAGGTCTCTTCCTGTCCAGCCACTGACCAGTTGCTGGGTTGTGATCTGTCTCTGGCTTCAAAACATATCAGCAGTCCTATGCAAGAGCCTGTGGTGTTGCCTGAAGTCTTCGCTACCTTGAACTCTGTCATGTGTGTGGAGGGTGAAGTTGGTAGTGGAAAGACAGTCCTCCTGAAGGAAATAGCTCTCCTCTGGGCATCAGGATGCTGTCCCTTGTTAAACAGGTTCCAGCTGGTCTTCTATCTCTCCCTTAGCTCTACCAGACTGGACCAGGGCCTGGCTGACATCATTAGTGACCAACTCCCAGAGACAGAAGGCTCTGTTACTGAAATGGGCCTGAGGAATACTATCCAGCAGCTGAAGAATCAGGTGTTACTCCTTTTGGATGACTACAAAGAAATGTGCTCAGTCCCCCAAGTCATAGAGAGACTGATTCAAAAAAACCACTTGTCAAGAACCTGTTTATTGATTGCTGTCCATACAAACAGGGCCAAGAACATTCGCCGCTACCTAGACACAGTTCTAGAGATCAAAGTGTTCCCCTTCTATAATACTATCTATGTATTACGGAAACTCTTTTCACACAACATGACCCGCCTGCAAAATTTTATGATTCACTTTAGAAAGAATGAAAATTTGCAGGGAATTCAGAAAACTCCCCTCTTTGTGGCAGCAGTCTGTGCTAACTGGCTTCAGTATCCTTTTGATGAGTCCTTTGATGATGTGACTGTTTTCAAGTCCTATATGAAATGCCTTTTCTTAAAGAACAAAACTGAAGCTGAACTTCTGAGAGCAACTGTGTCCTCCTGTGGTGAGCTTGCCTTGAGAGGGTTTTTTTCATCTTGCTCTGAGTTCAGTGATGATGATCTCATAGATGCAGGGATTGATGAAGATCTAGCCATGTTCCTGATGAGCAAATTCACAGCCCAGAGACTAAGGCCAATCTATCAGTTTTTAAATCCTGCATTTCAAGAATTTCTTGCTGGGATGAGGCTGACTGAACTCCTGGATTCAGATAAGCAAGAAGATCAGGATTTGGGACTTTATTATTTGAAACAAATTAACTCATCCTTGATGGCTCTATGTCCCTATGAAAACTTTTTGAACTACATCTCCTGCCACACTTCAACAAAGGCAGGGCCAAAAATTGTATCTCATTTGCTTCTTTTGGTGGATAATAAAGAGTCATTGGAGAATATATCTGAAAATGATGACTACCTGAAGCACCGTCCAGAAATTTCCGAGAAGATGCAAATTATTAGGCAGCTGTGGCAGTTACGTCCACAAGATTACTTTTCATTGGTTTCAAAACATTTATTCATTCTGGCTGTAAAAATTGCTTATCAAAGCAACACTGTTGCTACATGCTCCCCATTTATTTTGCAATTCCTTCAGGGGAGAACCCTCACTTTGGATGTACTTCAGTTACCATATTTTTTTGACCACCCCGAAAGCCTGTTACTGTTGAAGAGCATCCAGTTCTCCATAAGAGGAAATGACAGGTTACTCAGACCAGATTTCTCAGTCCTGGCAACAATTCTGGACAAATCTCAGGTACCAACTGTAGATCAAGACTGTGCTTCTGCCTTTGAACCAATGAATGAATGGGAGCAGAATTTAGCTGAAAAAGAGGAAAACATTGAGAGTTTTCTGAACATGCGACTCAGTACACCACCAGACATCAGCACTGGCTATTGGCAACTTTCTCCAAAGCAGTACAAGATTCCTCTTCTGGAAGTTCATGTGACTGGTACAGATGCTGTGGACCAGGAGATGCTCAGGATTCTAATGGAAGTTTTTTCAGCTTCAGAGCACATCGAACTCCACTTAATGGGCAGCAGAGGCTTTATTGAACGCATCCGCCCGGCTCTTGAGCAGTTTAAGGCCTCTTTCACCAAGTGCTCCATAAGCAAATTTGAGCTGAGTGCAGCGGAACAGGAATTACTTCTCACTCTGCCTTCCCTGGAGTCTCTTGAAGTCTCAGAGGTAACCCAGCTACAAGGTAAACATCAGCCTATTTCATGTGTAGTTGTATTTTCTCACTCTTAGATGGATGAAAACTTTTGAAAGCATGAGACCATAAATGCTTGCTGATTGAACAGATAAAGATAAACCTTTACTAACTTATTTCTGCCAGTGATATGAACTAGTGAAAGGCCTCCAAATAACAGAATGGCTTTCAAACTCTGATAAAGTTAATACAATGTTAACTAATGAAGGCTTTTAGCAAACAAATGACTCGTTATTAGGAAAGAATGCTCTATATGTAAATGATGCTTGAGAATTACCCTTACCCCACCTGCTTCGCGGAAGAAAGGGCTTGTACTCTTTGGGAAATAAATACATGGGAAATATCTCCCAGTTACCTGTGTCTCCTTTCACTTCTGTAAGCAGTGTTTGAGGGTCTTCAGTGTAGACTGAAAGTTTATTATCTTTCATTAAATTTATTCCTAGGTACTTCTGTTTTTGATACTTCTGTGAATGGTATTTTAATTTTTTTCATTTCCTGTTGTTGCTAATGTGGCTTTGGTTTTCACCAGTCTGTTGAATGCCTAGGTGTGCTTTGCTTTGTATCTATCTTCCTTGAGGGTCACTAAACATTTTTTGGATCTGTGGGTTGATATTTAATCATCAAATTTAGAAAAACTTTGCTCATTTTCTTTCAAATACTTTTTTATTATGGTAAAATATACATAAAGCTTTTAAACCATTTTGAAGTATACTACTCAGTAGCATTAAGTACAATTACAATAATGTGCAACCATCATCACTATCCACTTCCAGAACCTTTTCATCATGCCAAACTCTACCTATTCAGCAATAACTCCTTCCTCTCCCCAGCTGCTGGTATCTAGTCTACTTTCTGTCTCTATTAATTTGTCCATTCTAGGTATTTCATATAAGTGAAAGCATACAATATTTTGTCCTTTTGTGTCTGGCCTCTTTCACTTAGCATAACATTTTTAAGGTTCATCCGTGTTGTAGCATGTGTCAAAACTTCACTACTTTTATAGCTGAGTAATACTCCATTGCATGTATATGTCATATTTTATCAGTTCATCTTTTGATGGACACTTGGATTGTTTCTTCTGGCTAACACTGCTGTGAATATGGGTGTACAAATATTACTTTGAGACCCTACTTTAAATTCTTTTGGATATGTGCCCAGAAGTGGAATTGCTGGATCATATTAGTGATAGTAATCCTGTTTTAATTTTCAAGGAACCTCCAAACTGTTTTCCACATTGGCTGCAGCATTTTATATTCCTAGCAGCAATGTAAAAGGGCTCCAGTTTCTTCACATCCTTGAGGCTTTTTTTGTAAAAATCAGTTATCCTACTAGGTGTGAAATGGTAACTCACTGTGATTTTGATCTGCATTTTCCTGATGACTAATGCTGTTGAGCATCTTTTTCATGTACTTTTTAGCTGTCTGTGCGTCTTTTTTTGACACATGTCTATTAAATCCTCTTTGCCTGTTTTTAAACTGTGCTGTCTTTTTGTTATAGGAATTCTTTGTATAATTAAATTTTTATTGGATATGTGGTTTTAAAATATTCTGTCCTATTTTGTAGATTGCCTTTTTCACTGTATAGATAATGTCCTTTGGTCCACAAGTTTTAAATTTTAATGGGGTCCAATTTGTCTATTTTTTACTTTTTTGCTACTGCTCTTGGTAGTGTATCTAAGAGTCCACTGTTAAATCCAAGGTCATGAAAATTTACCCTTGTTTTTCTTCTAAGAGTGGTATGGTTTTACTTCTTACATTAAATTGTTGCTCCATTTTGAGGTAATTCTGTATATGGTGGTGGGAGGTAGGGGTCCAACTTCTTTTGCATGTGGAAATTCAGTTATCCTAGCCCCGTTTGTTGAGAGTATGTCTCATCTTTGTGAATCCAGAGTGTAATACAGGACCAATGACGCAAAAAGCTTTATCTACATATATATATCCTTTCTAAAAAAGGATGTCTTATGCTATGTGAAAGGTTTTCATTTGAAAATAAAATAATCTGATGAATCAAAATGACAGTTTCAAAATTTCCTCTTGGAACTCTTTAGATTAATAATGGGAAACTGTGTTGCTTTCTAGATCAACTCTTTCCTAATTTGGACAAGTTCTTGTGCCTGAAAGAACTGTCTGTGAATCTGGATGATCAACAAAATGTTTTTTCAGTCATTCCTGAAGAATTCCTAAATCTTCACCATATGGAGAAATTATTTATCCGAATTTTAGCTGAGAATGGTCCTTCCAAACTAGGTAAGAATGGCACTTTGACTTACTAGTTTTTACATCACTTGGAAAAGTTACTTGGCTAATAATTTTTGTTATTGATTTATAATCATTTTACAATGTTGTGTCAAGTTTCAGTGTAGAGCACAATTTTTCAATTATACATGAACATATATATATTCATTATCACATTCCTTTCTCTGTGAGCTACCATAAGATCTTGTATATATTTCCCTGTGCTATACAGTATAATCTTGTTTATCTGTTCTACAATTTTGAAATCCCAGTCTATCTCTTCCCACCCCTCACCCTCTTGGCAACCACAAGTCTGTATTCTATGTCTATGAGTCAGTCTACTTCTGTTCTGTATTTATGCTTTTTTTTTTTTAAGATTCCACATATGAGTGATCTCATATGGTATTTTTCTTTCTCTTT